TATGCGTCGCCACCACCTCCCCCTGTTACAGGGCTACTAATATTAGAGAGAGATAAGTCACATTAAGTGAAAAAAAAAAAAACCAGAAAAGATCACAAAAATTGTGGAAGACAGAGGAAGAAGAAGAAAAAGAAAGGAGGGGCAATGTATCGTAGTGGCATTAACTCCTTAACAAGGAATCGTGTAAAGTTTGTGTAGTAACAGTTAACAACATTTTTTTTTGGGGTCTATAAAAGATTTTACACTTCGAAAAAGAAAGAAGTTGTTTATGCTTCTTCTCTTCTGCGTTAAGGCCGTTTTACGATGATGGTTTTCTTAGACTCTACATATTTGCGATCTAATTCTTTAATTTGATAAAGATATCTGATTAGGTGAATTGAGTTTTGATCCAAAAAAAAAAAAGATTACGTGAATTGGGAAATTAGTGTATCAATTGTTTAGGAAGTGATATAGACAAAGTCATTTTCTTTCTTTCTTTTCATGTCACTTCCTAAACAATTTGGATCAGTTTAAACTCAAATACGGTGAGGTATCGCCAACTCTTGAAGAACTACAGAAAAAAACTCTTGAAGAAGTAACATGTGAAATCTACTTTATAGGAACCAAACGGTTCAATCAAAAAACCAAAACCCAAAAACATCCGGTGAACCGGAGAGACTCACTTTTCTTTAAATTTTGATTAATAAAACTAAAGTGAAATACATTCACTACAAGAATGCAGGCCGAATTCCTACAAAAGTTACTACGAAATATTTGGTAGGATCATTTTTGAACGATTTCTCTACGAAACATTGACGAAAAAGTAAGATCATCGAAATTTGGTAGGAATTTTCCGATCAAAAAAAGGCGTCAAGATATTGGTAGGTAATTTCTTACGAAATGACTACCAAACACATATTCGTAGAAAATATGGTGGAATATTGATAGGAAATTGGTGAGTGCACCCGACCAATATATTTGTGGATATGTCGTCGGGTATTTTCCTACGCATTTTTGACGATTATTTTTTCGTCAAACAATATTATAGGAAAACGGTAGGGGAATTTCGAAACGTTGTAAAAAATGATTTTGTTGTTTGTCCCACATCGAGTACTCCCATAAATTAAGCAAATTACATACCAAATTCCGTCCAATTTCCTACCACTTCACTTCCCCGACCTGTTCTCTACCAATTCCCTACCTTTTTCACTAAACCAAATTAATTGCAATTAAACCAACCCAATTCGTACCAATTTCCTTCCAATTAGAGTAGACCGAAAGAATTAATAAATTAACCGGCTAATTCGTAATTGAATCTACCTATTCCCTACCAAATACCTACCCTAAACCGTAAACCTAATTTTATATCATCCAGAATCTCTTAAGTGTTTCATTATCTCCTAAACTCAGCCGACTTCGAGTTCTTCCTCTTTCACCTTCCTCTCCGTTCAAAGCAGCAACTTTGCCTCTGTTATGTTAACGGTTCACCATGGCCGGTAACCGGAAACCTCGCAAGGCCTCTAAAACCCGCCGGAATCCGCCGTCTGTTACCACCGGAAAAACCGCAGATATGACGGGCTTCACCAACTCTCCACCCATTCCGAATTTCACGGTAAAACTCTCATTTCTTTGCTTGCATGTTTGAGATTCTCGGTTTAGAACAAGCATATGAGTTGTGAAGATGAAATGTGTTTAACACAAACTTTCTATTTCTAGTTTTAAGCCCAATCTCTTTTGATTTCTTTTGATTTAAGATGAAATGTGTTTACCTTTGTATATAGGAACGTACCCGGGAAGATTTCGAGCGGTTCATGTCTCAGGAGGGACATCTCCGAGATAGCTCAACTCCAGCATTCACCTTAGACGGATTCCTTCCGTCTCAGAGTCTTCCTCAGGTCAACCGGTCATCTCCAGAAAGAGACACCGAAGAACCAAACTCACCCAGGATTCCCGAAGCAGATGAGACCCGTACCGAGACCTTGTGCTCCGTCGACGACCTGTTGCTTGCTCCTGGGCGACAGAATTTGCTTCACTTGCATCCTGATCGTATCGGAGGAGCCACTTGGTAAGCTTACAATTCCATTGTCATCGTGTTTGCTTTAAGTGTTTGCTTATACTTTAAGTTTTCCTTACTAAGTACTCTGTAATATGTTATAGGTTTAGACATGACAACTCAGGGAAGATAACTAAACAGATTTTGAAGATGATGAAGTCTTATCTCCCACGATCATATCCCACTTACCGTAGCCTTCCAATTGCTGTGAAAAACCAATGGTTCAGAGCATTTGCGCTGAGTTCTCTACATTCATTATTAATTGTATTAGCTGGTTCAGTCTGGTTGATCAATTGTGCAGTGAGTTATCTACAACTTTGTTTACATTTTGCAGCAAGAGTTTAACTGGGATCCATCCATCACCGAAACAGTGAGATCAGCGTATGACCTTCAGGCCGATGCATCATTTCGGTCCAACTTGCATGAGTGGAAGAAGACTCTGAAGAAGAAAGGTCCCAACAATGCACCAGATTGGATGAAGTCTCGGATGTCTCTCTTTGGAGGTTACCTGAAGATGTGGGCCTCATCACAAGTGAAAAAAACCTCTGCCAAGAACTCCAAGAATCGTAAAAGTCCAAGAAATGGACTAGGCCAGGCAATACACAACAATGGAGCTAAAACATTGGAAAGGCGATGGGATGAGCTGGTAAATCACTCTACTTTCATTTTTTTCATTATCGGTTTATTGCATTTCTATGTTTCACTCTTTTCATTGTTTTTTTTTTTAATTTTCAGACGGTGGAAGGAAATGGAGTTGAGCCGGACATGCTGACATTTATTGAGGATGTCCACACCTGTAAGAAGACAAAGACCATACCTGATAACAAAGCTAGACAGATCGTGAATGAGTCTAAGGCAAGGCTGGAGGAGATTGCTACGCAGAGACAAACTCAAGGAGAAGGCTCACAAATCCTTACACAAGCCGAGATAAATGCAGTCGTACTTGAGGTATATGTTATCATTATATGCCTCATTACTTAGTTAAAATGTTGTCATTATAGTCTCATTTTAGTACTCGTGAATTATTTTGTATCATTTCATGTCTCGGCTCATGTGTCATGTTGGTAGAACTGATTGAAGTCGTAAATTTTTTTTTTCATTTGGACATTGTCATAGCTAAATTGGTTACTTGACAAAGTCTACTTGTTCATATCATGCCTCTTTAACACAACATTTCATGTCTCCTTTGCTTAATTCTTTCCATGTCTGTTTCGTGTAGTGTAAGGAAACAGATTTTGATGACTTGTTGTTTACATTTGTCTCGGTGATGTCTCTGTTTTTACATTGTTTGTTTTAGAATTTATCTAACACCGTTTCCTCACAATCCTTTTTTCATTTCCAGCAAATTCCCAAGTTCAGAGGTCGGCGGTTTGGGATTGGTACGATGGTTGATGGCAAAGGCTTATCTTCCACAAAGGCTACTCAGAATCAGACACAAGAATCATTAGAAGAGGTGATAAAGACTATGAAGAAATTTGAAGCTGAGAAAGATGCACACATTAAGTATCTAATGGAATGCAACAAGCTTCTTCTTAGCAAGTTTCCTGATCTGGTTCCTCCATCAGCTCCAGTAGAGGATCAAATGGGCGAGGAGGAGAGGACGCAGATGCTGAAGAGGCCGAGGCAGATGCTGAGGACGCCGAGACACATGATGAGGATGCCGATGAAGACAAGTCAGAGGAAGACAATGCTGAAGATGATGAGACGCAGGAGTAGGAGTTTAAACGTTTGAAGGATGGTTTTTTGGAGTTTGAAGGATGGTTTTTGGAGTTTGCAGGAAGACAAGGTGGTTGGTGTTTGTGTTATAATGCCTATGGTTTTTTTTTGTGTTCTAAAAAAGTTATAAGGATGGTTTTTGGTGTATGATAAATGTGCTCTAGTAAAAAAACCTTGGAATGTTATCTTCTTAAACATTGTGGTTATATGTGATTTGAACTTTTATTATGCTTTTAATTTCTTCAATTTCATCTCATTTATGATTTCACATAATTTCATCGATATGATTTTGTAGGTAATCTGTTTGTTAATTCGTAGGTTTTTATTATAAATGGTAGGAAATTCTCGTAGGAAAATGGCAGGAAGATAGCCGTAGATTTTTAGTAGGTTAGTTTTGTCAGAAAATGGAAGGAATTATCCGTAGTATAAAAATTTCCTACGGTATTTTTCGTAGGAAATTCCCTACGATTTTCCTACTAATTATAATTTCCGACGGCCGATTTCCTATAAACAAGATTGTCGGTTTTGAGTAGAAAAGGGCCCTTTCCTACACTTAAACGACGATATTTGCTGTAGGAATTCGGCCTGCATTCTTGTAGTAATTGAGATACATATATTTGAAATACAGTGACATACATATATTTAAAATACATTGAGATACATATTCGAAATAAGCCGGCTAAATAATAAAATATCCTCAGAGAGATACATATTCGAAATAAGCCGGCTAAATAACAAGATATCCTCGGAGACAGACCAAGAGCCCCATAGGAAGAAGAGACTAAGAACATGTCCAGTAGTGAACCCTTTTTAGGGGTTCATTAAGATTATAATATTATACAGTTTTGGAGTTCCATTAGTAAACTTCAAGATGAGGTTCATCCTGAATAAAAAGAAAATATTGTTGCGGTATAAAAAGAAGATGCAGAGGGCTCCAAGCGCAGAAATGTTCTTGTATTGTTGCGGTATAATATGTTTTCTCGTTATTGTCTATAAACTTTGCTTGTTCATAACTTTTTTTTCGTTTATACTGTGTTTGCATTTTATCAGCTATTGTTGTTGCATTTTAATCAGGTAAAGAAGGAAGAAAAGCACATTAAAGACGCTGAGTGATTGCTTGCTATATCTCGTGGCTAAGCTCAAAACTGTTGATTGTTAATGCATTTGTAAACTCTAATGTGTGTGTGTGTATTACGTCCAAGTTTAATGTACTATTGTAGAAAAATATACATTAGATTTGGATTCAAACCTCGAACGTAAGCTTAGGAGTTTGCACCCTTACATGATTGGTTTGATATCAGTTTTGTATTTAATTAAATTCATACTAGATTAAAGACCAGAAGATGTTAGTACAATAATAAAAACGTATCTGCTCTTCTTCTCAAAAACAAACAGAGCAGAGATAGAGAGAAGGGTCAGAGTTTCTTTCAGCAATCAGCAAGTTCTTTTTGTAAGACGGCCCTAGAAGGGATCCATCTTCAAATCTATGATCTTCACATAAGGGTTCGAGTGACCTCGAACGAATACATCCGCAATCTGCAAATGAGAAAGAGAGATCAGTTTCTCTATTCAGGGTAAGTTTTTTTTTTGTTTATTTCTTTACCTGAGTGCATCCAAAGGCTTTCAACACTTTCAGAGATGAACAGTTATCGACAATGTAGCCAAATGAATCGTCTGAGATATCTCGGCACCAGGATACATCCAAAATCTGCAGCTTTCCGGAATGTTTAGCAAGTGCTGCGGCCGTGTTATGGCCAACCTGAAAAACATAAAACAAATGTGTCAAGTGTGTGACTTAACTATGTTGCCTCTTCAATCCTCCCTGCTTTAGCAAGAATCATGATCGCGGTTTCTCGAGAGATGTTATCACGTCGCTTTAGTTCTTGAAGCAGACGCTTAGCATGACCCATCAGACCAACTCTTTCATAAGCCACAATCATTACCCGCTCTCGCCCAATACAATTATAAATCCAAAATATGAATTATTTTTATTCTGAAAATGATGAAAAATCCAAAATAATTTAAACATACTAAGTTTTTAGTTATATTTTTAAAATTTTGCCAAATTTTATTTGAATTTAACTAATTTTATTTAAATTTAATTATTTTTATTTAATTTTATTATTTTTTGGATATCCGAATCCGAACCGAACCCGATCGAATATAACTGAACCCGAACCGAAATTCCAAAAATATCCGAATAGGTTTTAAATCTAAAAACCGAAAATCCGAAAAACCGAATTATCCGAACCAAACCCGAATGGATATCCGAACGCCCAGGCCTAATCGATGGGATGAACCGACTCTTCGTAATTAAACTTTTTTTTCTTTTATTTTTCACCTAAAATTTTTATGAACCTGTGCAATAAACCTCTTAGACCATCTCCAATGGTGAGAGACCCATAAGGGTTCTCATCTTGTTTTTTAATATATTTTGTGTTACTTACACATATATGTATATTTGTGAGAGATTTTTAGTTTTTGAACCTCCAATGGTAGGTTCTTTAAACAGAGTTTCTTAAGAAAAAAAATAATTTTTTTAAATTATAAAAATATACTAAAGTAAATTTAATTCATTAATTTAAATTGCAAACACATACAAAATACATTAATAAACACAGAAATACAAAACAGAAAAATTGAAAAAAGAAAAGTTGAAATTTTAAATTCCTCCAAATTTGTTCCAAATGTGCTCCACTAAATCATTTTTAATCGTTCATGCGTCCTTCGATCACGAACATCGTCTCGAATGCCCATCAAATTATTGATATTTGACGGCATATCTGTTTCATATGATAAATCCACTTGTGATGTTCTGTTTGCCTCTACTTGTGTGAATTCTTCAACATTAAAACGAATGTACCCATTCCGTTCATCTTGAACTATCATGTTGTGAAGTATTATACATGCTCGCATGATCTTTCCAATTTTTACTTTATCCCAAATAAGAGCTGGATTTTTGACAATAGCAAAACGAGCTTGCAAGACTCCAAAAGCACGCTCAACATCTTTACGGACAGATTCTTGACATTTAGCAAACAATTTTGCCTTTTCACCTTCTGGATGAGTAAAGGATCGGACAAATGTTGCCCATTTTAGATAAATTCCATCGGTGAGATAGTACGCCAAACGATACTGATGCCCGTTAACAATGTACTTCACTTTTGGAGCTTTGCCTTGTAATACATCATCAAAAACCGGTGAGCGTTCAAGAACATTGATATCATTTAAAGTACCTGGAGGCAAAAAAATGCATGCCATATCCATAGATCATGTGAAGCGACATCCTCTAAAACGATTGTTGGTTTTCCAGAACCACGTGTGTATTGCCCTTTCCAAGCCGTGGGACAATTCTTCCACTCCCAATGCATGCAATCAATGTTTCCTATCATCCCGGGAAATCCACGGGACTCTCCATCATCAAGCAGTCGTTGATGATCTTCTGGTGTCGGTCTTCTGAGGAATTCATCTCCGAACAAATATTTGATTCCTTCCACAAAATTTTCCAAGCATGAGATTGCAGTACTCTCACCTAGGCGGAGGTATTCGTCAACTGCATCAGCCGCACAACCATATGCCATCATACGAATTGCTGCAGTAGACTTCTGTAATGCAGAGAGTCCGAGTCTTCCGGTAGCATCTCTTTTTTGTTTAAAGAAAGGAACTTCATTGGAGAGGCGATCAACAATATTCATGAACAAGGGTTTGTTCATTCTAAAACGACGCCGGAATAGATGATCAGGATAGATTGCATCTTCACGGAAGTAGTCGTTCCATAAACGAATATGCCCTTCTTCTCGATCTCTATCAATATATGCTTTTTTTTTCTTGGGTTTAGGTTGAGGAGCACCACTTTGACGCATAAGATTTTCAAACGCTTGGTCAAAAAATCCATCCCATTTTTCCTCAAATTGTTGATCCATCATATCGTCGATATTATTTCGGGAAGATGATGCCATTTAGACAAAATAAAGATTGTTTGAAAAGAAAGATTGAAGATGGTTTGATGAAGAAGCAAAATAAAGGAAGCAAGAAGATTGATGATCGTTTGAAGAAGAAGAGAAATAAAGAAAGCAAGAAGATTGTTTGATGGGTTTAGATTTCTAGAAAAGAGTTTAATATATATAGGGAAATATGTAAGATAGAATTACACATGTGGTCTACAATTCAAATAATGTGAAGCCACAAGTAGCTGTCGGCACATAATTGCAAAGTTCTGTCATAAAATTATATGGACAAGAAGTTTTTTGGACAAGAAATATCTGTCGGCACATATGGACAAACAGCAAAAAAATATCGGCTAAAACTTGATATCCTCGGCCAAAAAAAGCCCAATGAGTAAAATCTCCGACCAATAAAATATCCTCGGACAAACACATTTTTGGCCCAACTTCCATCTCCATGATGAACTGCAATAAAAAAAAATGAAAACATAAAAACATGATATCAAACTTTTATGTCAACCAACATATAAACCATTATGTCATAATGTGTGCTTCCATGTTTTAAATGCAAATATTCTTTCAAACTTTGATCAAGCAAGAACACTATCAATCGATGGTTTAATATAAAAACCAAGAACACTACCAAACTTTGATCAAGCATGAACTGAAACAACATTAATAAGCATATTAAACATATGCAACAAGTACAAAGAACAGTAGTAAACAACAATAACCGATCCTTGAAACAGACAACAACATAAAAACACAAAGCATTTGAAACAGAGATAGATAAAAAGAAAACAATGACAAGTACTGAAACCTCTAAAACAAGAACCATATGCGATTTACCCATCTGCTAAAACCTCAGCTATGAGCTTGTTTTTTAAAGCCACTTCCATCTCACTTAAAGGATCAGTTCTGGCAAGAAGATTCTCCAACATCCTCTTGTTACTTAACTTGTTCCTGCTCTCTAAATCCATTTGTCTGATATCCCAGGCTCTTTCATAGCCTTCATAATCCTGCTTACTAGCTCCTTCGCCACTGGTCACCTGCTTTTTCTCTTTCGCCTTTGAAGCTTTTACACCGATTGGACGCCTTTGAGCTTCATCTCCTCCATGGCTATGTGCGGCTGTCGACTGTGAAGCCCCTACTTCTGTTCTTCTTCGTTTAGGAACACCATTGCCTTCCTTTGGAGCCCATTTTTGTTCATGTCTTAGCTCTCGCCAAGCATGTTCCAATGTGAACTTTTTCTGTGTATCATTCAAGTACATCTGATTGGCAAGCTTCATCACATCATCCTCGTTCTGACCACTTGATCTCTGAGCCGATGCAGACTCATAGCAGCCCTCAAATTTGCAGAGAGCTTCATTGATTTTTGACCATCTTTGTTTGCAGTTATTTGGGAACCTCTTCTCCATGCCGACCACCTTTTTACTTGAGGCATAAAATGTGGCTATCCTTTTCCAAAAAGCTTCTAATTTCTGCTCATTCCCAACTATGGGATCCTTACTAGTATTCAGCCAAGCGCTGATGAGGGCTAAATCCTCTACAGGAGTCCATTTCTTCCTTGAACACTTCTTTGCTTCTGTTGGCGTGCATTCAGCTTCGCTTCCACCATCGCACCATTGTGAACTAAAGACAGAAGCTTCAGCATCATCGAGACCTATACTTGGTGAAACAGGTTCAAAGGAATGTGGGGTTTGTTGACTGTTAAGAAGCTCCATGAAGCCAGAGTCAGGGAATGGATTAGTAGAATCCATTTGTTTCTTTTGAATCTCTTAAGGAGAAGAATAAAGGACAATAGAGAGCTGAATAAAGGATTACAAGGAAATGAATAAAAGGAGAAAGAAAGAGATGAATAAAAAGGAGAAGGAAAGAGATGAATTAAAGGAGAAGAAAAGAGATGAATAAAGGAGAGGATTAAAGGGTTTTGAGTTTTCTTCTCCTTGGTGTTGTTAGATAAAACAATCGGCCAAGTGCTTTAATAGAAAATGTTATTGTCTTTGTTGTTAGTTTTCAAAGCATTTCATAAACCTTGATGATGTGTGGTTACCAGTCTTATCAAACTTAACACTACACCTAACTACCAAGCATTAAACAAAAAGCTTCACCATCACACTAAGCATTGATTCAGTATCCTACCGTTAAACTACCTCTAACTCTAACACAATGCATTGATTCCCCCAAACCCTAACACAACATCGATTTAAACAATCCATCACAAGCATCACTCAATCGATCATAACAATACATCAAGTGGTTCTTTAAAGTTCAGAGAGGATTTAAAATACCTGCGCATCATGAGGAGACACAACACGAGGAGAAGACTCAGTTCACCGCTTCCCACCGTGAAGAAGACTCAGCCAATCGTTTCTCATCTCGCCGCCGTAATGCCGCCGTAACGCCGCCGGAATAACAAAAAAAAAACACAAAAGAAACCATTCAACAAAAGCTTCATCGATTCCCAAATCACACCCATTAAAAACCTTTGATTCAACATGCATTTATAATTGAGAAAGTGTAATCGGTGTAATCCGAATCCAAAAAACCCAATTCATCTAAAAATTATGATGAACTAAATCAGAAATTGTAGAAATAATAAAAAAAAAACTTTACCAGAAGCATCCAATTCGCCAACGGACATCGTCTTCTACCCAGAAATCTTGCAAGCTTCATCGCCATGACTCTCGATTACACATGCATGAAGGAGAGAAGGATGCATCTGATCAATTTCTGAGAAGAGTTTCGGCGTCTTCTTCTCAGGAAGAGAAAGAAAAAAAAAGCGATGCTCATGCGAGAGAGAGAAACATAAATGAAATCATAAAAAAAAATAAAAAAGAAAAAGTAATTCTCAACCAACCATATGAAGCCACGTCACAGTCTCTCATAGGTCTCTCAAGTTCTCTCAAGAGAAACGATTCTCTTGAATTAAACCATTTAATTTTTTTAATGCATAATTAACATCAGAAACTCTTAAAAGACTGGCATTGGAGATGGTCTTATGAACCCCTACTGGACTTGTCTAAGAGCATGTTCAATGGAGAGATCCTCATGGGTCTCTTATTCTTATTTTTATTATTAAAATAGATTACTTTATTAGTAGAGACCCAATTTAAAATTCTGAAATTTTAGGGGTGCAATGGAGAAACCTTTTGGTCAAAGAAGAAGGAGAAAAGAGAAGAAGAAGAAGAAAGGAGAGAGAAATAAAAAATTTCCAATCAAACACTGATACCTGGCCCATAAAAGACATAAAAGACGTCTCTTACGTCTCTTATTTAATCTTACGTCTCCTATTTAAGAAACGTCTTTAACATTTAGTAATTTTTTTTTAAAAGTACCTAAGAGACTTGCTTAAAGACGCCGTTGAACATGCTCTAACACTGAGTTAAAATCTCTGAATACGGTACATGAGAACTTAATAATAAATCTCCAAAACACTAAAACTTAAACTCCGAATAAAAATAGTCCCACAACCCTTTCCAACGAACCTGTAGACGCTAGAGTTACACCAAAGTATTGGTTTATGGTCAGTTTGCACCCATGATTTAGCAACATATCGAACCAATTTGATTAAACCAGCAGTTATAAACTTCTCTAAATGAAAAGTTGTGAATCTTCAGATTGTGTCTCTTCATCTAATATATATATATATATGAGATATTGTAGAGGAAAAATTTGTGGCTGTTTACAACAGTTGGTGGCTGTTGATAAACAAAAAGTTATAAAGGAGAGAAAACAACGTTTTTAGAGAGAGAAAGCTTGGAGATATCAATTGCAAGAACATTTAAACGGTGATAAATGATTGATTTCTTCTATAATCTCTTCCTTGATTTCTGCGTCCGTTTTCAGATAATATCAAATCATATTCATCGCTAAACCGGATAAAGGTATGTGTTCGTTTTATACTGCATAAAACTCTTTTAGAAGCCTCGAGAAGAACCAAACTAAATCGAGCTGAAAACAACAACACCAGCAGAAACAAAAGCATGACCAAAATTTTATGGGAGAGACTCACTTAATTTTCATGTAACTAACTAATGCCAAAAAATTGGAAAAGGGGTTAAATTTAGTGTAGGCAGCTTATTGGGCCAATACAAAAGTTATTGGGTCAACGAAGGAAGATAAATTGCAAAATGATGTTTAAAATGAGTCGGTAATCAAACACGACGACGTATAGTGAGGTATGCTTTTGCTGCAAGACGAAGCATTAAGCATGATCTTACGGTCAAGTCTCAGTTCATAAAAACTGAAATACAGTTTGATTCGAGGAACTTTGATGCTTTTTTCATTTCATTTGGAACCCTAATCGTGCGTCTCATTTCTGGTAAATCCCAATTCAATCTCGAAATTGCCAACGACGATGGAGGAAGACAAACAAAAGCCCGAAGGGAAATCATCCCCAATTGAAGAAGAAGAACCAATTCGAGGAAAGGATCCGGAAATTGAGAAACCGATAGAGGAGAATACGGAGGCGCCGCCGAAGAATACCGGAGGTTGGGGATGGGGTTTTTCTGGCTTCTCTGTGCTCTCGGATCTTCAGAAAGCTGCGGAAGATATATCTCGTAATGTATGTTTCCGACTTAAAATTTGACCTAATTTCTGAAATTAGTGTTCTCTGATAACGCTCTAGTTATCGGATCCGAGCTTATGGTACCAATTGATACCGCATTGGCTAATTCCTCAACCAAATGTGTATATGGTTTCTGCAAAAATCTATCATTTACTTATTTTGGTCATTGGGTATTTGCACGATATGAGGAATAATCTGATGGGATCACATGGAAGTGTTATGTTTCCGTTTTGGGTTTCTTGAGAAGAGTTGTTGATCTTGACTAGTTGACTAATTTAAAACATTCAAGTGTCGAGTAATGATCCCTGATTTTTCTCCTGTAGGCTGCAGCAGTTGCAGAGAAGGCCGCGAAAAGCATTGCGGATATGCAAGAAGCGGATGAAGACTCGGAATCTTCTGCCAAGGAAGAAGAGAAAACTGAAGAGCTTGAGACGGAGCAGGATAGTGATAATGAGAAAGAGAAGTTGAAGAAGTCAGCTCTCCAAAAATTGGACGGTGCAAGTGAAGAGTCGCTTCTTAGCCAGGCAAGTCTTTCTTGATTCTTATTTGCAAGCCTTATCCCTGTCCGACGTGTCCGTGGTGATGATATTGTATGCCTAATAAAGCTATTTTCCACGTAGAGCTTTGTTTCTGCTATACGTTTTTCTGTTGGCTTAAGTCATTATTCTTCGTTCTCTTGGTACTTAAGAATTTACGTAGCTTCTGGAATTTACCCTTTTCCAGGGTCTGAAGGTTTTCGATGATTCAGTTGAGAGTTTCACTTCTGGAGCTTGGCTGGCATTTGGAAATGCGTTAAAAGGGGGAACCAATCTGGTGCAAAAGTATGTTACTTTTCATCTACCTTTTGTTTTACTGAAAGCTTTAATCTTGACTATGTACAAACTTTGTGGATGGAAAAGGTCAAGGCCACTAAGTTTATACCCTGGCAAAAAAGGGAAGTAAGCAGTCAGTTGACGTGTTGTAATTAAAGGATTCTCTTTATGGAAAATCTGCACCCAAAATTAATTACTTCAATTGTCGGATGCTCTAAGCATTTAATACTTGGTTGACAGAACTACACCATGAACATGCGCAGTTTGTGTAATGTTTCTTCTTCTGGTAGATTTGCATCCTCTTTTGGTTCTCCATTACCATTAAAATGTTGGGCAGGCTATTTATAAGAATATGGCAACTGGTTAAACTGATAGCTTAAACGAACCCAGAGGCCTTGTGTTTCTTTAGCAGGGATCGGCTTTCCTAGGAAGATGGTAAAGTTGTTAATACTCCATTATTTCTCTTGTAGGCTTGAAAACAGTGTCCAGCAAGGTTCTTCGCCCAGGGAAGCTGGATCTGGTGCACCGTCTCTATTGGAGGTTTGTGCTGTTCGTATCGTCTTCTGCCTTTCTTTCGCTTAACATTTCATTTAGCCCATTCCGATCTGCAGACGGGAAAAGCATTAACTGCTAAAGGAATGCAAGTTCTTGAATTTGTGGGCAAGGAGACTATGGATTTATTGATTACAGAGACTGGTCTTGGAGTTGAGAAGAATAGGGAGGATCAAATAATTGAGGAAGTGACATTTGATCGATGCTTTTACATTTATGGTGGTCCTGAGCAGCTTGAGGTGACCTACTTATCTTTGAACACCACCAATCAAATATTCTTTTAAGATAATCGATATTTTTTTTTCCCTTCAGTTACCTGATGTATGGTGATTTCAGGAATTGGAAGCATTGTCAAGCCACTATACTCTGTTGTTCAACAGGAGAAAGGGGAAACTCTCACCAGATGAGAAATTATTGTATGACGGGAAGCTCAAGCACATCCAGCAACTGTTCAGCTTCGCTGATGAAATGAGTGGAGGTAAAGCAGAGTCTGACAAAGGGAAGAAAATAGATATCAAAACTGAAGGCAATGATGATGACATGAAGAATCTGCATAACTCGAGTGTCAGCAAAGCTGCTGATATGGCTACTGGGTAATCTTGATTGTTCACCTTTTCGTCTCTCAGATTCCACGCTCTGATTTTCTCCATTGCTCTTCTTTGCCTGTCTTTTTTCATCAAAATCTCATAGGAATCAGTTGTTTGTCAGTATATTCTATGCTTTCCTTGCGTCAGGAAAGTTCTCATGTTAAGATGAAGTGATAAATGTGTGGATTTTATTTGATCTGTTTTTTTATTTGCTTTTCACTTGTGACGTTTTTCAGGTTCACAAACGCTTTAGCGGGACTAAACGTTAACGATATGATCCAGCGGACCGGTGGCAGGCTTGAATCTCTTCACTCAGAAGGAGTTCATGTGCGAAGATTCCCTTCTTATCTCTTATAAAATGTTGAAGATTATTCATTCTACGACAACCAGTATGCTTCCTTTTTTTGGCTGAACCAACTAATATGAAATTTTTGTTCTGCAGAGACTTTCAGAGATGTGCTGTTTTGCAGTCACTCATCTGCTTATTCTCGGTAAGTCCATGATATCTCATGCCAACAAAGTTCAGGATGAAGACACTGAGTCGTTAAAAATCGAGTGGCCTGAGGATCCTACTGAAAAAGCTAAGCTGATTAGAGGCAAGGCAGAATCAATGGCTGGATATGTCGAAGCAGTTTCCAACAGTTTTATAACAGGTTGGTCCACCACAATTACTCAACTTCGGCTTATAACTTCTCTATCGCATTTCTCGTGATCTAATAGGTGGATAAGAATGTTTTATCTTGTCGTTATATTAGCAGATAAGTGTGATATACCAAATAGGCTTACCTACTAAATCCTACAATCTTGAGTTGCCAGAATCATCTTATTTAAGGGTAGTATCTCATTTTGTAATAGTAGAAGGTCGAAGCAACATTTCTTCTACTAAATAACCCAAAAAAAGAAACATTCTTCTACTATGAAGGGAAAATCTTAGAAATTACCTGTTCTTCAGTAAGAAAAACAATGGACATGGAACAACTAGAGTGTGAAAGGGTACTTTACATAAATGTTTTTTGGTAATAGGTCATCTACGTAAAATGCTGGCTTGATCCCATTTCAATACCTTAGCTACTTAAATTTCACTTTAGTTTGGGACTTTTTCTTGCCTCGGTTTGTCCTGGGATTAAAACAGAAGAAGGTATGCTTGTGAAACTCGAATACCCTTTTTCATTTGCAGGTATATCAGATGTATCTGAAACATATGCAGCTGCGATCAAAGGAGCTGCTGCTGATGATTCCAAAGATGAGCTTCTGAAAACATCAACCATGGAAGAGAAAGCGAGCACTTTCAATGGTAGTCTTCGCTCTGACCAAACCACAGCTATCACAAAGATCCAGGAAGGACTTCAGTACCTATCCTATGTCGTGATATCTACCTCAATGCCCTCTGCCTGATATAATAAGAGTCAGATTGGTCTCATTTGTAGTTTTCCTTTTCTAGACATGGCTCGGATTCCATCTAGGTTTCTTTGTAGATATATCTGCTTCTCTAGCTACATCTATGGTAAGTCTCTCCCACTTTAGCTCTGCTTCTCTGTTGTTTGGATCTTGAAAGTTTTATTAAATCTAGAAACCAAAGATTGAAAAGAAGGGAAGAGATTAGTAATTTTGTTATTTGTTGTGTTATTGACCTGTAAAACATTGCTTTCAGTTTTTGTTAACTTACGGATTTGCCTACACGTTTGGAAATAACTCCTCTGTAGTCGGTGTGAAGGACTAGTGGTAGAAGGAACAGATAGCAAGAAAAAATATGATATATTATAGCTGTCCAATGATTTGACAAAAGTTATCTCTCATTCAACGTTCACAAAGTTATCTCTCATCCAACGTTAACAAGAGACTAATCACCTGCTACTAATGTCACTTGCTTTTGTTCTGTAAATGTTGAAAATGAAATGTAATCCGAAGAAGTGGTTGCGACCTATATCATATTTAAGTCGAATATTTAATACGGAGTATGATGTTAGCTAACAATTTTCTTTACTCGATCGATAGATATAACCAATCATTCTTTATCATCCGATAATGAAGGTTTATAACATTATAAATACAATTTTCTTATGATGAAGGCATCTTAGCATCGAATTTTGAGGCATGTAGACATGAATCATCATCTTCTCCGTCACCAAAGCAAATGGAATAACGATTTTTTTTTGTTTATATATCGTTTAAGATAATAATTCCTCTGTGATTATTTATCTAATTTCTTACAAACTATTGATAAATACTATTAATTTACACCGCCACCCCCACCACACACACACACACACAATCACACACACATGTATATATATATATATAACTATTTTTATTATTCAAATTGTTTTTCAATGATCACTATCATCATCTTAACTAAACTGCAACTATTATCTTCTTTATCGTCGTTTCTCTAACCATTTCTTATAACTACAAATTATTTTTACCATCTTATCAAAGTTTTGGTTAACAATCAAATTTTAGTATTAACCTTTTGAAAAGGAGATATATAGATGCCATCTTCCTTTGGATGGAAAGAGACTTTTCAACAACATATGCCAAATTTATGGCAAAATAATAAAATAGTTTAAACCTTAATAATTAATTTTAAACCCGCAATTCTAAATCTTAACCCAAAACATATAATACAAGCCCTATAAACTATCGTTTTAATCGAAAATAACGTGTTTCTTTATTTTTGAAACAACTAACCTTTTTTGAAGGAAAGAAAAGAATGGCAAGAATCTTCACGGCCATAACTTCTCCACTGGCTTAGTTGTCAACGATGGACCGACGATGCAAAAAACATGCTCTTATCCTTCCCACCCTGGGATGGTAAGTCTCCCTTTATACAATTTTGTGTCTTGTATAAGTTCCAAGAATTGGGTTTAAAAGGTGCTTGTAAGGGTAAGTTAATAGATACTAGCAGTATGTAATGTAACCAGTTACTTTTTTGGTATAAATATTATCATTTAAACCAAAAAAATAAACTAGCTTTTTGTAATTTAGATTTTAAGTGTTTTTTATTAATTGTATTTGTTAGTATGGAAGTTTAGGGAGAGGTGTGCTTTCTCTTTCATAATCGAAATCGCAAGCTCTCAGAAGTTTTTAAAAACTCGCTTTTATGGCGATTCGAAAAAAATTCTTTCAAAAAACGCATTGAAAGTTTGTGTTTCTATTTCAAAACCGTAGTATTCTAAATATAATTGGAAGTGTAGTTTCAAAACCAAATATTAGTACATTAGCATTTGTAAACTCTGATTTATGTCTTTTATCTATAAAGAATCTTGTTTACGAATATTGTTTTAATCATGTGTGAGATGTTTTGAAGATTGTTTTGTTATGATCTTTCTTTCGACAATAAAGAGTATAAGAGGGAACATAGCCGCAGATACATTAGCAAAGCAGGGACAACCAAATAGTACTTTGTATACTTATTATTATTTTGTTCCTTGTTATGTATCTGATATCTTACATCATGACTATATAAATGCCATCTAATCTATAATATAGCTGTTAGAAAAGAAAAAAAGAGTATGAGAGGGAAGTTTATTTGATGGAGTTATGAAAATTGAAAATAAACGAAAGTGATTTAGATGTTGAAAAGTCGCTTACGGAATTTCATACGTTTCCACTTCCGCGTACTTGATTCAATGCAATATCGCTTGCAACTATTCGTCGGAGAATAATAAAAAAAACTATTTATTCACTTTATAAATGTTCGACTTTGAACATTTTTGTAACTATTTTTCATATCAATTAGGTGGGGATCTGCACCAAGTGCGGGCTTACAATGTATATAAAACTGATTAGAAAATTTGTACAGACGATCACTGATATGTAGGAAGTTTATAAGTTATATACTATCTTTTGAAATGATATGTTTTAATATTCTCTGGTTTTAATAATACTAACTATCAATCATTTATTTAATTTTTTTTTATAATGGTGAAAAGCTTAGATCTTATATAAATATTTAAAATTTTGAAGAGTATTTGTTGTTATTATGATATGTATAGTTAATCAACTCATAAATTTTGATAGTTTGATAATAGTACTTTTGAAAAAACTTATCACTTTATCAATAAACATCATTATGATTTTGTACTCGATTTCCTTTATGTTTAATAAAAGTATCGATTTTCGAAAATTAGAACAACCATTAATGGAAAAAGAGAAAGAGTATCAATTTTGGAGCATAAGTAAACCAAAGTGTCATTAAAACAAACTATTTAATTAGTATAAGTCTAAACCCAAACAAATAAAATAAACTATCATTTCCTCACATTCTGATAGACGGTCTTGTATATAACGTTCAAAGTATTGGTTTGTGGTTTATCCTTAGTATCCATTATCAGAATCTTCAAATAGTTCTCGAAGAAGTAACACGTGATATAGCCACATAAAGTTGTCGATGGGAAAAACATGTTTTGGTAAATACAGTACAACCTTTTGCAAAGTCTTTCCTTGACTTTTATTGATAGTCATTGCATAAACGATGGCTACTGGGAATTGTTTACCCCTCATTCTGAAAGGAAACCTTGTCTCGCTGGGGAAACAAACATTCGTGGGATCACGACCTTTTGACCAATATACTTACCAGTTATGTGGCTAGCTTGAATAACATGTTTGGCTAATTGTATTACCAAGAGTTTGTTTCATTGCATAAATTTCTAAAGCAACATAATATGTGGTCTTATTTTCAATTTCAATTCATAGTTCGACATTTCTGAGATCTTAATAGTATTAAGATATTCTTGGGTCTAGACTTTTTTTGTCAATCTTTCCCTTATCAGAAGTATCAATATTTTCCAAGCTAAAATATGTATGTTCCTCACCTAGGAAAATATTAAACAAAGTTCACTAAGTATAATTTAAAATAAAGATACGAAGCTTATGTATAAGATCATATATCTATATGTATAAAGCGTTAAATATGTTTATCTTGTATTTCCATGTATTCATTCATTAATCTCATGTCTGCATTTCTTACCATACACTTCTTTTACTATTTTTTAACAGGATCGACACATTCTTTTATTAGTAAATCGTCAGGGATTTCAATTGTGGCTTCATCGTTGTTAGTTGAATTAATTTTGCCATCATCTAGGTCCAAAATCCACTTCGAAAAAGACTGTAGCTCATTAACGCGATCATCTCCAACACCATTTTGAAGTCTTATATTTTTGGTTAGTTCTAAAACCGAACAACTGTCCCATAGAGTAGAAGAATTTATGGTAGCCATAAAAGTTATCAAATCGATTCATGTGTCTCTTTGTTAGAAAGCCCCCATCGAATTTGTAATCCAAACCCGATCGTGAGTTACAGCTACTCAAGCAACAGTAGTGCGATGTTTCACCTCTTTGAGTAAATAACTATGCCTCGTAACCCTTCTCCACAACACTCGCTTTACAAAGAATTATTACTTTAATTTCATGTTCATGTTTAATAAATAATATAAGTGTTAAGATTAAACAATACTTTCCATCTCGGAGAAGACGTGAATAACGTTGAAAGATCGCAGTGTATCACCTAAAGGACGAAAATGGCCTCTGTCAAAACGAAACACAGGGACACCAGCAAGGAAAATAGCATGTAAGCTTTTTTTTTACGATTTTTGGAAGCAGCTTAATAAAGTAAAGTTAGGTATCTTACCCATTTTTAAAGCGGGCATCCATGATTCTAGAAAAGACGACTAAGGTAGAGGAGAATCAGCATGGATGGATATAAAGTGAGAGAACCATTGTTAATTTAGAATTCTGTTTGAGCAAAAGAAGACTAATACCCAAATTTGTAAAAAGTCTAATATAGATATATTAGGATTCATTATTAAACTAATATATATTAGGGTTTTGCATTAAAATTTTGCGGCCTAAAAATATAAATTACATTATTAGGGTTCTGTTAAATGATAACTAACATTATTCTGAATTGAGTAAATTTTAACTATTATATTTAATTATTTATTTAAAATATAGTATATTTTAAATTATATTGGAAATTATTAATATTTCTCGATAGAACAGTTTTATGTGGATGATTAAATTATTTTTATATAGGATATTATTGGTGTTATACTTAAAGCCTATTTATATGTTTACGGAAGATCATACATTTTTATCTTTTTCTTTCATGACGAAGGGCTTATTCTTAAAGCATGTTTAACAAATGAAGTGTTTAATAAGTCGAATGTGTTTAGTATATTTATATAAATGTTTTCACTATATGCAAACATGCAGACATTAAATTTAAATATACTGAAAGGCAGTCATCTTTAAATAAAACATTAATTATTAATTAGTTTATTGCATAGAACAAATCTTAGAAATAATAATTTTTTGGAATAGAGATTATATTGAATAATATGTTTGGAAATAATAAAAGGTAAAATCTAAATAATAAAAACCAAGCATAAATAAAGCAATTCTTATGAAGTACATGACCTATATAATAAAATTTATGGGGAAAATATTTAGAAATATAAAAAATTAAAACCCTAATGTAATAATATTTTTGCTAATTAAAATCATGCTTTGTGTCTCTTGCTAACTTTGTCTTTTTCCTTCACTTCCGGAGTCTGAATTTCCCTTGAGGCATTCTGTGGCATTCTATGAGGAAC